AACACGTATCACATAGAGGAAATAACATTATTGCTCATCTAAGGCATACGTGCAGCATCGCCCGAACGATCTTGAACTGTCGCTGTGCTGAAGCCTACTAGAAGCCATATTAGTTAGAAGACAAACTCCCGGCACCCGCTCGCCCGCACTATCCCGTCGGGATCCGTGCATCGCGGGGGAAGTTGGGGAAATCCTGGCGTCTGAGCTGCAGGATGCTAATGTCACAATATACAAATGTACATGAACAAAATCGAGAGTCTACCGTACCTCGGAGGGTATCCGTTTCTAAAGATTCCGGAGCGAATCGAAACCAACAAAATTGAACCGAAGGAGCACCACCCGGGCGGAGACGGCTGGTTGGTTGTGCAATGCTGATGACGCGGAAAAGTTGAGGATGCCAATGGATGGATGGATGGATGGGTAATGTCTCAGCCACCCGCCCTGCACATCTGGAGGAAGCAATCAAAGCTCTGGACTGAAAGTGTTGAAGAGTCTAGCTGAGGTGTCAATCTATGCGGTGCTTTCGTCTTTGGCCAGCTTGTCATAAGTTCAAGATCTGTGCTTCAAATGAAAGACGAAGCACCGCATACAGTCCGAAGGATTATACCAAGATAGGCAGTCCAACAGGTAGATACATGTCGAGACAAGGCTACAAATAGCATCGGCGAATCTGTACAGCCAAGACTGCTCAGCCTGGGCTACCTACCCCTGGATCGGCGGTCTGCACACAAGTGCACTTGTCATGGTAACACTGTCGGTGCTTAATTTGGTTTGGAGGGCACCCTGGGATCCAATGATTTGCAGGGTCCACGAGGGTCTTGGGAATGGCCATCCAGACTGAGACATTGTCATCTTTGCCTTGATGTACATTCTCGGCATGCCTTGACACGAACACCAGAAGGAGCCTATAGCTTCATTGTCCAGCCCCGATACATGGAGCCTGTAGGCCTGCATTGGTGCATAAAAGTGTATGATCCAGCCGGGGCGCTGTGGGCTCTATGGATAAAAGTCTCCGGGACGATTATACGTAGCTATAGCTGACCTTTAGTAACAGAGTCGCGTGAACTCTGGACAAGGGGGGCCTTAGCAGCATGGTGATGCTGTTGCCTGCGGCAAAATGGAGTCAGCATCGTCAATCGAGAAGCGACACGCCGCGCAGCAAGTCGAAGAGCTGTATGACAAAATGATTGCCAGGGCATCAGCCATCAGCAAGCGAGAACGAGATTACAGCCGATGCATGGTTGAAAATGGACTAGGTCGTATACTTGAATAGAGCCGCCTAGCAAAGTATATTCATCATGTATCGGCAATCAAACCGAAACTCCCAATCTCTCTCTCAGGGAGCCGGGGCGTTACTGTTTCTGCCAAGCACTCATGAACAGCAAGACAAAGTGTGGATGTAGGCGAGTACAGTAACTAGGTAGGTATCCGTATGGACAAGCGCGCCCTATCAAATTAGCTGGAGGCAGTCTGATGCAGGAGGATGTTGATAGGTGGAGCTCTTGAAGTGCAATCAATCAGCCTGATCTGGTACAGTGTGGCTACAGTGAGGCACAGTACCTGCGGTTGTCTTGACTTGTGTGTTTTGCAGCGGCACAGACGGGAGCCTTGCAGTTGACATCCGTCGGCTCTGCCATTGTTTATGGACCTCGAAAAGTACAATGCTCATGACAAGGAACATTTCAATAATACAATCAGCTTACCTCAGTCATCTCAGCAATTGTAAGAACCCGCCCTCCGACCAACCAGAGCAAGGATTGCGAATTTCCGAACAGATACCGGCCACCGACCACCACCACCAACTCAAGTTTGATGGGTGGATGGATCGTCCCGAAGATGCTCCGCCGATAAGGTGCTGTGCTGCATGTACGTAAAACTTTTCCTTTCTTTTTTTTCGTTTTTGGTGACCTAAATCAAATCTGCCAGTCTAACCTGGTTTGATCGTACCCGTCTTAAGCTTCGGTACAGCCAATGGCTGAACGGCATTCTTGAACTTGTTGTGCCGTGATCCTCGTTGACGAATGTCGAATCTTGCCCTGCCCCCAGTCTCATAACCCCGGCCAAACGGCCACTACTATACCTAGACGAGCCTCTAAGATATGTCAGTGTACCGTCACGTCAGGTACAGGGCAGGGCATTGTCTGCACGCGACAATACCTGCACCAGAGGTTCCCAAGTGACGACAGAGCCGATGTCCGGCGCTGCATGAGGCGCCAACTAGGCGTCAGATTTCAAGCCCAAGTCACAGTAGAAGTGGATTTGATGAGGACACGATAATGTTACTGTCGTGTTGATTTTTATACAGTCGATTATTATCCCAAGTAATATCATCTGTATGCAGCGTGCACAGTACGTATCGCCCGGTGGTCCTGTCTCTGTTGCACTAGGTATTCTCTTCTTGACTCGAGACGCGGAGCGGCTGCAACGCGAAGGACTAGGTGCAAGACCAGACAGAAACTGTGGCTGTTTTGACCCTAGACACTGGGTTAGGATGTCAGTTCAAGCCAGTCAGCGTCTCTGCTGAGTCCGGATTCTCCCATAAAGTTAAGCATGGATATATTCTGATCGTCCCTCCGTCCCGTTATGCCAGTCAACCTAATTTACCCGCAGACACACTCTTTTACGGTAGGCAATCCCGAAAACAGCAATCGCCTCCCATCGTCCATTTACCTAGTTCCCGATGCTGAATTGCTCTGCTCTGCGCTGTGCTGTGCTGCTCTGAGATGCCAATAAACAGGAAGGTGATGTAGAAACTGCATTGTAATTACATGATTATTTTGCTGAGGACACATGTGAACTACGAATCCATGTCTAATGCCAATGCATGCGGCTCCTCTTTCCCTCTTTCCCTCTCCTTCTCCTTCTCCTTCTCCTTCTCTTGCTCCTTCTCACTTTGTACACTCCGCATCTCTCCACTGTAATCTGCCTCGCACCAATCTTGCACTACTTCCCCCATTCAATCGTGATCCATCCACTACCTAACTATAACATTCATGGACAAATCACCATCCCACGAGCCATGAGCTCCACAAATCCCCCAAGCTCTCACTCGACAGTTCATGATGACAACCAAATGGCTAATAAATTTGACGGCCTATGCGAGCGTATCAAATCCCGTCCTTAATAAACATACACGGCTGAGAAATGTCGATCTAGAAGCAACGCAAACCCAACGGCAGCACGTTCGGTAACATCTCTCCCGCTGCCCCCAATCACACACGCAATCGTATGCCTGGCGATTCTACAGTACATCACAGGCTCGCTCATGACTGACTGAACCCTTCCCTCGAGAAACAACTAAAGGACGCTATCCCGAACTCGGTCTCAATCCCACGTCTTCAGCAATGGCCCATGCCATGCCACGGACCACAACGGAGGATGACCACTGGCGATGTCTTCTCTGTGCTCTCAAGCTCGTCATGGTCGCTCCAGAACCCTTGTCCCCCATCCCAGCCCATGCTTTCCACCCCGGTGCCCCAGCCCGGTCACCTTGTTGCTTGCGCCATCGTCCCACACTGTACAGCCGAGTATCCTCGATCGCGCCCGTGTCCGCGACCTCCACGCCTCGCCTTGCTAATCAAGGCAAGGCAAGGCAAGGATATCGAGAACATGGACCCTAGGGGCTGTAGGCAAAGAATGTCCAGTCTGAGCGGGCACGCTGGCGGAATTAACCAGCAAGAAAGCAAGAATTCGATTTGACTTGTGCGGATCGATTCGGTACAGGACAACTTGATGATCAAGGGATCATGATGGGCCAAGGGACCAAGGGTCACGGCTGGCCTGCCATGTTGCTATTCACAGACATATCACATTGTAATGTTGCCCACCACGCCTCAACGCTGCTGCTTTGGGCTCTGGCCTTTGGACTCTGAGCTCTGGGGGTTTCGCGCTGCAGTTCGTCATTATCTCCTGTTCTATGTAATGTCCGTCATAAAAGAAGTCCTCTTCCTCGAATCTCTCCCGTATCTTTCACTTTTGTTTCTTTCCCCTGTTTCCCAACTTTACATTTGCACATCCTTCAGTGTGTTCCTCAGGGAGCACGCTTAGTTGTGCGGTGTGTTCTCCGTTCTCTGCTCTCCGTTCACCAATTGGTGTCGGCCGCCGACGTCACCAAAGCTACAGTACCAGGCCCGACGAACAACGCAGAACGAGAACGCTCCGACCATCCGGGCCGACATCTCCACCCACAACGTCTCCAGCAGGGTGGCTTGGCTTGAACTTGGTCGTCGATGTCGTTGTCTTAGCTGGCTCTGGCTCTGTAGCTGAAGGCGCCAAACCCGCTTGTGCTTTGCAGTCTGCAACGTGCACCAGAAGAAACCCCGGTTCTGCCGCCGACCTCGTCCGCCCATTCATTTCAGGTATTCCTGCGGCGCACTCCCCCTCTACACCCACCACTACAATCTGCATCGCACCCCCAGGACCCAGGGTTACAGTAGCGAGCGATCCAACCCGGCCACAAGCTAGGTCTAGGAACTTACTGTACCATACAGTTCCAGAGGAGACCCCAAGACACCCCAAGGGAAAATTACCCACCCACTGGCTGGTGTATCTCCACTCCGTTCCTCTCTCTCATCAATTGGTTTTGTCCAGCTTGCCCTCGAAAACTTTTATTATAGTCTTCTGTTCCCACGCTCCTTGTCTGAATTCATTTTTCAGCCTCTTCCAGCTCTGCCTAAGCTCAGTCGCGATATGTTACTGAAACTTAACTGTCCGGTTTAACAAAGCTTTCTCGACCCAGTTTCCCCAACCTCAATCCACTTCCTCTATTAGCGTGGGAGCGCTTTTGCGGGACACTTACACACAAGCCTTGGATATCGGTGTCGGTAGAAACCCACAATATCCTCCCTCCACCTTGGCCGGACCGAGCATACTCGACTCGAACTTGGTCACCTTAGATCCTACATATCTGGCTCTCGTCAAGAACGACTATTTCCACGATTCTCTAGGTCGCCGTTTAACCTCGAGCCGACTACACCTTGAGCCAGTCTGCGCCCGCCAAAATGATAATTGATGGAGAAAAGTATGCTTGCGAGGCCTGCGTCCGCGGCCACCGCGTGAGCAATTGCCAACATTCTGGTAAGTCGAGTCTCTAGACTGAAGCATGTTATGGGTTATCGGTCCAGTCATAACCTTTGACTGGATATAACTCCAGTACTTGTCCATGGACATGTCTCCAGCTTAGCTTAGCTCTGTTCTCTGTTGCTGACCACAATCCTTCGATAGACCGCCCACTTCAGCATATCAACAAGAAGGGTCGACCAGTTTCCCAATGCGCTCACTGTCGCGCCATGCGTAAGTCGCGCTCTGCTCACGTCAAGTGCGACTGCGGCGAGAAGACAAGTAAATGTGCCCACTTGCAGCCAGCCGTTGAGGGGCACACTGGTGAGCTTCCTCTGGTTTCTCGAGGTGTTACAGACCTCGAGACGCTCGACACAACTCGCATTTTCTAAAACTTTGGCAGAGACATGTTGCTGCAACCACGGTGGCCACTGCAGCTGCTCCCACAAGAACGAGCCTGCTCTTGACACCGTTCCCGAATCTGACTCGGAGCGCGAGTCTTTGACCCTTAGTATTAGTGGCCGTCCGAAGCCTCCGGGTCGACGACGACGAGCCAACACGGTCCACTCAGACGGTGTCTTGACTTTCGACCAGCACGGCAACCACAAGCCTGCTCACCGAAGCAACCGGGTTTCGCAAAAATGTGGCCCGTATCAGCTTAACAGGGTGAACTCGGCTCACAGCACTGGCAGCTTAGGCGCCGACAGCATGCTGCAGAAGAGCACACGGGAACCTCCCAGTAGCCGAGCACGCGCTGCTACCAACCGAGAGCGTAGGGTCAAATCAGAAACCGCATCGCCCCTGATGAGCGGTGCGAGCAGCTTCCAGAACCTCAATGGCAACCTGCCTCCTCTGGATCTTTCAGGCATTGAATACCCTCCTTATATGGCTAACAGTACCTTTGATCTGTTTGGATCTGGTTTCAATTCAGAGACAGACGCCCCCATGTACAGCGCTGGCCTCAGTGCTGCTTCAGTCGACTGGAGCCACTATGATCTTTCAGAGATGAAGGGCGAGAGTTTCACGCCTTCCAGTTATAGCCAGGCTGGCACTCAGAGTTTCAATGGCCTCTTCGATTTCGGTAGCGGTTCAGAGCACCTTCCTCACTTGGCAAACACTACATCGACCTCGGGCGAGGTGTCCGAAGTGGAAGATTTTCTTCCCGGAGGAGACGGCGACTATGACGGCCTGGAAGGATTCAGCCGTGCCGATAGCTTCATCCGACAGAACGGCAACGTGATGGCCAACTCGACCGATCTCACTACCATCGACTACGACAACTTCTACAAGGGAGCAGACAGTGGCCCTATGGCAGGAGCGGGTCTATCCATGGTTGAGGATGACCCTGCCTTCTGGATGCCCAACTATAATGAGGGCATCACTACAATGGACGAAAGCCCCGACCCTCTCGGCCCTGCTTCAGTGCCTAGCTTCTGGGGCATGTGAGAAATTATCGAGGTTTCGAATATCTCGGCGTACACAATACCCATTCGGTTTTTTTATTTCAAGTCATTAGGGTGACGCACCGGCAGGCGTTGAAAAATACCATACGAATTGAGGCCACGAGAGGCATGGCCTCTTTTACTTATTTCGAGTGAAGAGCGCAAACATATATACGTTTTATACAGAGCGAATCTACGCTCACAACCAGCCGCAAACCAATCGCGTCTGCATGATGCCTGGGTTTCTTGCGGTGATGATTACGACAGACAACTCTCTCATCCATGAGGTAGACGATTTGAGAGTCTTGACGAGCATGAGTTTTCCTACTATCGGCTGGGAGGGATGGAAAGGATAGAGCAGGCGCAGATGGCTTTCTGAATTATACAATGAAGCAGAATAGGGACAAAGAAGAGACGAGCAGCGCAATATTTTTGGATGACTTAGCTTGCGAAAAGAAATGTGATCAAGACAGACAAAATCCAGTTTGAAGGCAATGGCAGACGGACTATGGCAATCAGGCCAAGGGAACGAGACCAAGTTACACTTGTGTTCCATCGAGTTGCGCTCGGTTTTGTCTGCATGGGGAATTTACAAGCTGAGTGATGCAAGAAGGAGGGAGATTGCATATTCTAGACTTGTTTGTCAAGCAGTTGTTGCGTCCGTTGACTCAATTGTTCATCATCGTTCTTTGTCATTTCTGGTTCGATGTTTCTGCTTCTGGTCTCAGGCTGGGTACGACGAAGAGTACTCGGCAAGACTTGATTTAACGCAATAGACTTCTATGACTGAGGACCAAGACCAACCGAGTCGAGGTCCATGAGCCAACACCACCAAATACCGTTCCATCATACATATTTACATACGTGGAGTGATTGTGTCGACATGCATTGAAGATGACTGATACCAGCTTGCTTGGTCGTCGGCGGTATCACTTGTCATTGCTTCAAGGCAACCTCACACGAGTCCCATTGCAGCCCGTCGTCGGACGCCCGGAGACGAAGTGGTTCGACCAGCCAAGGTGCGTGGTGCACGGGATATCCAAAAGGATGCCATCTGCTGTCTGGGGGTCCAATGCAAGAGGTGCTCAACCAACAACAATGGCAGGTCTCTAGGCCTGATTTCAGAAACAGCCAGCGTTTCTTTCATATTGTTGGTATCCTATAGGCCCGCACCCGTGCCACCACAGATGAGCACTCTATTTCCCCGTCATTTCTTTTCCTCCCCATGATTCCAGGGATCCCTAAGCCGGGGTCAACAGGGATGAAGGAAGACGTGGCACTTGGACCAGGACATCATCATCCCTCTGCATTCGATGTGTCTTGCTTTACGTACAAGCTCTACTGATGTTCCTGATTGTTTCCAGACATTATTCGAGGTCCCCATGAAAATAGTACGGAGGCTGGAAACTGTCATGAAAGATGTCAGCAAAGACCCCACCCACACACATGAAAGATTCTTCAGCACATCTGCATGTACGCTACTTGCTTTTCTCGAGCTGGCTCGAGCTCGGAGACGCATACAGATAAAACAAAACAGACAGATGCACTTTGCTTTTTCCGTTCTCTGCTTCTGTGTTGTACATGCATCTAACGGTCCATACCGGGTCCGGGCCGGCACAGAAGCATCAGCTCAGTGATGCAGGGCCTGGCCTGGTCTTTTTCTTCCTGGCTTGCAGTCTAATTTGCATTTGGAGGGGCGTACAGCGCATGTACGTACTTGATATCGAGCAAAGAAGGTTTCTTCTATACTGCTTCTGAAAATGGCAGTCAGGTACGGTACACAAAACATGTGTCTCGCATGTATCGGCCACGACAGCCAACCACACATGCTGATTAAGTAACTAACAACTTGGCAAGCAAAGCATAGCATAGCATAGCATAGCCCCAAGGATTTCAGTCTAGCCTCTTTATCGTTCGCACGGCTAAGCTAATAAGCGGAGCCAGAGTCTCCACGAGGTACCAGGCAACCTTTGTCTTCAACTACGGAGTACAGTACGAGTACATATGTACTGACCGACGGCTTCACAACCAAGTCCTGTTAACCCTAAGTCCCTAACTAATAACTAGTCTACCGGTAGTCGAGTGGGAGAAGCCTCTAATTCGATTAAGACCCATTTACGTAAACTCAATTCTCTCATTACTCGTTTCCCGAACCGTCGGGTTTTTTTTAGCCTGGTCCGGTACTCGGAGAGGGAAGAGGTAGTGTCGATCAGGTACGGCTAGAATATGCAAGATTTTGACTTTGTCTGCCTCGACGCTATATTGTTAACAAACAGTTGGAGCCATCATTGACCAGACAAGGTTATGACAGCGTGGGAAAAACTCTGTTCTGGAACCGCTACTGCACGCAGAATATGTAGAACTTCGGCTGTGCGGCTTTGTAATAGGACAATCATGGGACTACGAATATCAAAGTTGATAACTATCAAAATAGTATCTCAACAGAACCAAACGCCCTCGTTCATGGCGCACGCTTGGCACTATCATCTACCATCATCGTTCCGCATTTTCCGTTACCCCAGTTTAACTAACAAATACCAAAAGGGGGAATAATAATCATACAAGTCCCACTGCCTAACAATGGTCATCGCCTCTTCACGCGTGTGTGTACAGGTCTGTTGCGTTTTTTGAATGATGCTCTACGCCATATCCAAATACCCTGATGCCAATGATGGCCCAAATGAGATATCATCACCTCCCGGTGCGATGCCCTCATGTGCCGTGGCAAGATCTGCCAGGTGTTGAAGGCCTTGGCTCGCTGCCGCTTCCACTGACGATGTTGGACGCAAGAATTCCGAGAGTTTGTCGCGAACACCATTCCACATTTCGTTGGGCTTTTCCACAATATCCTTGATCAACTGTGTGGCTTCTTCTCGCGACTTGTCGATCTTAACCAGCTTCGCCAAAGACATCGTGATAAGAGAGACAAAGTGATTGACGAGTGGACTGCGTAGGTGCTCGTTTGTAAAGAGAAGGTTGATCACTTCCTTGGTAGGCCACAACGTTTCGGTCGGCGTAGCGCCTGGTGTCAGAAGCACAACCATGAGCTTACAGTGCCAGTATGCTAGATGCACGACGGGATGCGACGTAGCCAAGATATGCCCAGGGAGATCTTCTCGGTAGTTCTCAACATAATCTGCGAGTATGCGTGCCACTATCTCCTCGGTTGTGGACATTCCCAGCTGCAATGTGAAGATAGCTTGCCACAGACAGTTGAGCAGCTTTGAGAGTCCTAGAATCCTGGTTAGCGATCGACAATTACCTAGAATGACCTAATTAACACTTACGGGCAAGGTAAAAACACACATCTCCCAGGATCTTCTCCAGGCCAGGAGGAGCGACTGTACTATTATCGGGTATCATTGGCGGTTTTCCCTTGCCGACAGCATGCCAACGGTCCATCAGGATCAATGACCACCATATCCGCACTGATAGCTGGTCATCTGAGTCTGAGTCGGACTCCAAAACTAACTCGACGGGGGTGTATCGCCATAGGTTAATTGAATTGGCCAATCCAACCGCACGAGAAAGCAAGTACGGCAAAGTTGGTGAAGAACGCCAATCTGCGTCGATAATAAGCAGCAATAGCGTCTGGGCATGCACAATATAGGTGGCTTGTGTGGCATGGGTTTCATCGCTCTCGCGCTCCATGAGTAGCAAGCTAGCGAGCTTTGTGTCACCACCGGATCCTACGACTGCGGGAAGAGCATTGGCAAATGCATTCTGGACCGACGTCGGGCACTGCGCGAGCAACGCCTGCATCCGACTCTTTGTGCTTGGCAATATCGGGTACACAGGGCCAACAGTTGACAAATAACTGAATAACGACATGTTAGTTGCAGGAAAGGGTTTCGCCGACGGATCACTAACCTCTGTAGCATGCTTTCATCGATGTCAACGGTCTCATGAGCATCTGGCATTGACACGTCCATAGCAGCCACGGGAGGTTTAGAGGGCGTACTGTCTGGCCGAATGGGTGTAGCTTGGGGTGCCAACGAGTTGTTGTTGTTGTTGTTGTTGTTGTTGTTGTTATAGGCTGAATATGCTTCAGAAGTCCCTGGCGAGGCCTGCATCCTGTTGTCCGAGCCCCATGGCATTTGTCGCGAGGGCGTAACAAAATCATTTGTCGAGATACTGGAAAAGGGTCGTTTTCGAGCAGCATCATCGCCTTGGCTTTGCCGAGGTCGATCTGTGGAAAAGAGTCTGTCGATGTCGTCTTGACTCAGGCCGCCATCAGACTCAAGCTTGTTTTCGATGCTATGGATGCGATCTGCAAGTTCTTTGATATATCTGTTGAGGCTGTCAGTCTCTACCCTTCAGTGCGTAATAGCTCACAGGTGTCAAAACCATACCCTTTACTTGGACCCCTTTTCTGCGGTACGCGGCTGAATAGGCATCTAATGGATGACCTAGCACAGCTGGAACATGGAGCGTCTCCAGTATCCGACTGGGCGTCACACTTGATTTTCTTCCTCCGACACTCATCGCATGCCCTTGACACCTTTGATCGTTTTCTGGGTGGGATGCTGTTGTCGATGGGGTATTGGGGGCCCATTGATGGCCCAACAGAAACAGACATGGCGTGCGATACCATTTGGTCGCTCGTGGGAGTATCGTGAACATAGGACGGTGTCTGCTGCTGTTCGGGGTCAGGGTGAGGCATGATGCTTCGCAGGTTGGGGTCCTCGACGTTCATGTTGGGGTCTGTGGCTGACATCATGGGCGCTCCAGCTAGACCCTGGCCTAACTGGGCTGCCAGCTGAAGCTCTTCCAGGTTGGCGGGACGAGGAACGTGCTGCTGAGGGGTTTCCGGCTCTGGAGCTTGCATGTCATTCTGATTGTGCTCTGGAACTTGCACATGTTGTACTTGTTCCGGCGCATGATGGTCTGACTGTTCATGATGAGGCTCGTGGTGGGGCTCATGATGCTCATGATGCTCGTGCTCTTGGTGGTCTTGAGGGACGTCTCGGCCACTGGTGTTGTAAAAAGGGCCAGCTTCCATTGCCTCGGTGCCGGGCGAGGGATATGAGATATTGGCATCCTCTGCCTCGTTTTCTAGCTTTGTACTCATGGCTACAGCTGACTTGACATGCAGATGGTACAGTCGGTTGGCATTCGAGGTGTTTTACGGGTGAGGATGATCGTCAAATCAACACAATATGCGGAGATGAGTATTGATTGACAGGCGTAATGCTTCAATTGTTCCAATAATGAAGTGCGATATGACGGCGTTCCACCAAGTTAAGCCCTGCGCGACGCGCGACGATATCACTGGACGAAGCCATTGTTAGCAATAGTTCGACGCGATGTTGACCAAGTGCACACGATCGCGAGCCAAGCGAGGGATGTCACGGAAAGTGATTTTGCAGGCAGACGCGACGACATGAGTGTGTTCGTGCTGTTGATTAGGAAGGCTATATCTTGGTCATGGCGACTTACACGACTCTTGTTCTGGGATCTCGGAGCTGGATAAATGCGATACGACAGCGACGCCTCGACGGAAGAGGAAGAACTCGGCCCCGATGACTTGGATGGGCTGCCCTTGTGTGGGTGTTTTTGACAAGATCACGGAGAAGGAAGAATTTTTCGGAGTCTGGCGGGAAATGCTCGGCCTCGATTTGTGCTCGCTTAGTCAGTTACCCTAGAGCTAGTGTCTTGGACAGACGAGCACATGCAATTAATCGATGAGGCAGTCATCATCATCCTATCAGCTTCATAGAGCATAAAGGTGGATTTAGGTTTTCACGATGTATGGCAGTCAAGTCTCTTTCAGCCGCTTTACTTTACCAGTACGTGAATATTCGTAGATCATGCCAATACAAGCCATCATGGAATTGGCAGTTGGAGTCTTGTCGCTCTAACCAGCAACTTGATCAGCAGAACCGCCGCCAGGAACAAGCACCCTTAGAAAGGACAGGTAGAAGAGGCCCATGACTTTCACGGGATACCTTGGTTTGCGAACCCCGGGTCCCCGAAACTATACGCATACCGACCGAGGGACTTATGACAAGCCACGATCGAAGTCAAAGGAAGCTGGAATACTAAACAGTTCGAAAGGGGTCAAATAAAGCCCGTGCCGTGTCCCTAAATGCGTTCTACTAAGGAATAGTGAAGAATCATACTTTTATTATACGGAGTTTCCTCCAAGCTTAGTCCCCTAAGGTGTTTCCCAAAACATGAAGTCCTCTGCGGAGAGGTAGGCAGGCAAACATACAGAGACCAGTCAGAGGGCACAACTATAAGACAGAAGCGAATCCAATACCCAAGAACACGTTTGAGGGAAGAATCCTTGGCACCTGAAGACCAGGGGCAAGTAAACAACAACCTGCCTATCTTTCGTTAGCGCGCCTGGAAATGTTTCCGCATATGTTATATAGCCGCAAGATCGTCATTAAGGGACGAATTGAAGACGAAAATAGCAGCGGGATAGTGTTGCACTTCGAGCTTAAAGCTTAAGTTGAACATGTATGGTATACCGGTGGGAGTGGAGGTCACAACAGGTTACTTATAAGTACATTGGTGAAGAGGTAGTTGGGTTGCAGTGATATTTTTGTTAATTCATCGTTGATCTCGTGCTCAGAGCTTCCAAACAATACTCTGTCTTTGAATGTTTCCGACACTAGGCTTAACACTCGATGTAGCCGGACAGAATGAAGGCATTGACTAGGTACAGTTGATCTATGTGATAGTGCCATCGATGGCAACAAGGAATGAGAATGGGGATTCTAAGTTGACAAGAAGAGTACTGTATGAGCGCAAATTGAATTGGAGTCAGTTGTCATCTCAAAAGGCTCCCACAATGAACTCATATTGGCATTTGAAAGGCCCTCTTGTTCTTGCTTGGACAAGAACCCACCCGTACAAGGTAATTGGTAATCATCATCACCAAGGTTTCTAGCCTGACTTGAAGAATGGAAGGGCCGGAGTCGCCCCCTAGCTTGGGTCTGAGACTCTGGGGAGAGATGCCTGAAAACCCTCAACTGTCAGGGTTACATCACCAAGGAAATGCTACCCGTCCATCATATACGTATGTAATACTGGCAATATCTGGTACATAGAATCAAAGCTGTTAAGCTTTCGGATCTGCCCTCTGGTGTATCAGGATGCTAGCTACGGAGTCAAGGCCCTGTTGACACCACGGCTGGATGGAACGTCGAGACTTTGGATGTTGTCTCAATAACCCCTGGCAGCCGCATTCTCGGCGTTGTTTGCCGCGGCGGAGGCTAGCGGGTAAGTCGATACCCTTGTCATCCCAGATGAGGTCCCCGCTCGATTGTGAAGAACAATCAAGGAGCGATCATCAGCGGTTGGTTAAACGAAGTTGCTGTTGGTCTTTACTTTATTACTTCAGACGCAGCCAATGAGACAAGAAAAGCTATCCGATAACTCACAGACGAAATGTCACTCGAAGAATATTGGTATATAATCTTAATGGCGTGTTGGTGACGAAGTGATGGAACGAGACTGCTTGCTTTGTTGCCTCGACGATTGATAAGTGACTGGCAAATGACAGCCCGCACTTTTACTTTTGCTTCTGCACTTTGGGGGTCTAAGGGGTTGAGGCAACTACACTGCCACAAATCGAACCGCGGCCTTTCACTTTGATACAGCTGGATACTCCGAAATCCACTTACACAAGCAATTTGATCTTTTCAACGAAGTATCTCGACTCAGTGACAAAAGTTGTCCCGAGTGAGAGGCCGGAGGCGTTCAAAACATGGAGACTTTGGAACAAGCCCAGGGATAGGAGAGTGGGTACTTATTTAGAAGAGTTCCGGGAACTCCTAGTGGGCCAAGGAGCGCTATAACAGCCCTAGAGGCTGGAACTCAAGCAGAGTGTGGTTGCAGCCGGAGCGGCAGTCGTGGGATTAATGCTTGGGCTGATTGATTGGATTGGATGGACCAATTTCGTTGACGATTCCAGAACCTCTCGAGTCTTGTCCCCGAGCAGCCCTTTGTGCATCATCATTGGCCTTTGAGTAGAGCGAGTACGGAGTAAGCTCAGTACGCAGTAAAGGCCGGGAGGTTCCAGAGCCCTGCATCTCGTCTTTCTTACTCGGGCTTTCTCTCGATTAGCTTGGTCTTAATCAAGCCATGTCCCCTAATTGCCCTATGCCCGTACGGATACTCTTATGGATAGGTATTTGTTGAAACGACCCGACCCTAATAATTCTCCTTATACCCGCACTGATGTTATGGATGGATCCCTGAGTTAATTACCCTATTAACCTAGCTCCCTACTCCGTAGGTACGGAGTATACGTACACACTACGTAGCATCTATGGATTTTATCCTTGAACCTTGTCTCGCTCGCTCGCTCGCTCGTCTCATGAGCAATGCATGTGTGTATGTATGTACCTATGCATGCAAATGCAGGGCAAGGCAAGGCCAGCTTGTTAGTTGATTCGGCGATATGACAACCGCAAAAGTCCCTACCCTGGCCTGCTTTGACTTACCTCCTTTGCTTCTAAGGTTTTCTACTAAGTTTATTTCGTAACCCGCGCGTTACCTTACCTTACCTTACTCTCTACTGTAGCATCCACTCGCTCGCTCGCTTGTTCGTTCGCTTTTACTTTCTTTCCTCTTGTCTCAGGCAATTTTTGATCTCCGAGTATCCCGTCTCTCCCTTTTTTTTGTTTTTTGTTTTTTGTTTTTGTTGAAACACCCTTCTTTCATTGAAATGGCATCATCGGTTGCCTGTCTCTTGCCGTAGGGTTCCGGGTTATTCTCTCTCTCTTTCTCCCTCCTACTTCACTTTTCATTCTTCAGCAACAACACACTTTCAACTGGAGCTTATTACACAGCGGCATTACACTTTCAATGACGCAGACAATAAACCTTTTCCGTCGTCCCACAGCAACTGATCTACCTTGTCACCTTTTAAGTTGGGTCGGACAATCGTCGACACCAGCCTCACTCATCCCAACATGTTGCTAAGCATGGATGTCATGAAGGTGCGGGATTGGACCTATCTTGAGGACCCCCCTCAAGACATTGGCCCAGCTCGACATATTCTTGAAGTTTACAGCAAGATTCCCTACAACGATTTAGATGGCCACATACGCCGTGTCGTAAGTATATGTCCTCCCCGAACACTAGCACATAAGCTGATATGACCTTCTGCTTTCAGCGAGAGAAGGCATGGTGTATCTCCCAGTACCCTTGCGTTGGGCGATGGAAATTTCTCTACATCCCGGATCCCAAAGATCCTCGCTACCAACAAGCTCTTTTTCGCCTCAACGTCGCCGGTTCTAGAGATGTCCTTCTTGATCTGGGATGTGGGGTTGGACAAGTAATTCGGCAGTTTCGTGCAGATGGAGTTGACGGCGCTCAACTCATTGGCACCGACCTGCAGTCCAAGTTCATCGATATTGGCTACGATTTATTCCAGGACAGGCACTCCCTCGACGCAACATTTGTTGCGGGCGATATGCTCGATCCCGCCGACAAGGAGATGGCCTTGTTGCGCGGCAAGATCACCATGGTTCACGCAGGCAGCTTCTTTCACCTCTTCAACTGGGTCCAACAGCTTTACATTGGCAAGCGTGTTGTCGAATTCCTAAAGCCCGGCACCAAAAACGCGCTGATATATGGTCGCCAGGTCGGCACGAACCATCCAGGGCCATCTTCCACTAGCACGCGATCAGCTTATTTACACGACCAAGCAAGTTTCCAGCGACTATGGGATGAAGTCGGAGCCCTCACCAAGACACGATGGCAGGTACAGGTCGAACCTACTGGAGAGCCTGTCTCCAAAGTCCCTGGATTCAGCAATCACGCATTCCCCGTCAATTTCACCGTCTACCAAGTTTCATGAGAAATTGCTCCAATGCGATTCGCATCATAACAACTTAACCGGAATGAGCGACGATCGCATTTCGACCCCGGTCCCGCCTCATTTCTCCTCTTATCCGGCGACTTCGACCCTATCGTGAAGCTGACATTCTCCCAAGCAGCTTTTCTACTTTGGGTTGGTCCGCATATCGACTCATACTAGCGCCTTCGCAATTGGTATTTCCGGCTGAATCCACGACCAAGACCACGAAACGATGAGGCATCGAATATTGTGTACTTTTGGGCTCGTCTGCACTTATTTAGACTCGGCGATTGACAACAACCGAACCACGAAGGTGCCGCTGATCAAACCCACCTTGGAAGAGAAGGGGGTCGCCCAGCCTCTCACCGACCGGACTCGGCAGTTCCCTGTTGCAGAAACGTCTTTTGTGCTACAAGGATTCTCGATCTACGGATGCTCTCCCGCGATTCCTAGGACTCGAGGACAGCTTTGCGTCATGATTTCGTGACACAAGCTGACGGCTTTATTATATGGGACCACAAACTCCAGTCAATGACTTACTCAGCAGTCAAAACCACTTTGTGAATGGGTTGGTCTGCTTAGCAGGTCATTAGGCACGATTATTGATTAATGATACATGATGATACTTGGCGGCTGGGCAACGCGCCGCGTTTTTATGCTTGGGCACTTGACTCATGCTAGTCCTTTCTTATGGCGTTTAGCGAATAGGTATAGAACAGGTTCAAGTTAGAGGGGGCAAGATAGAATGCATATGGGAGCAATAGAATTATACGTGAACAATACCGATTGCTTTCAACAGCAACATTGGCCAGTCTAGATGGTTCGTGTTTTGTCTGCGAGTTAAACATATCAACACCTGGCCATTTTCCAAGTCAAGCAAGCCCAGTGAACGAACTTTTTCAAGTTGCCCAAGGCAATCGAGTTTTGTGACATGGTGCGAGAAACCTTTGTAATCCACAGCTACCTCATAGGTAGCGAACTGGGTTGAATGAGAGTTGGTTTTGCTCAGTTCGTATGGCCATGTCATTCCCGTCAGCACCGTACATACGAGGATCGCCCCTCCCCAGGCAACTATGCAGACTGACCCTACCTTCTCAACCTAGGTAGGTAAGAAGATAGATCGTTGACTTTGCATGATATCCTGTGACGGAGAGATACATATGAAACCCTCTTTCTCTCGAATTTGGAGTTTAACCGCGTCAACTTCGTGCGCCGGATGAACGCCGGCTAATGGGAGCTTGCGGCCCCTCCAAGCTTGGGAGCTGATATCCCACTCTCGTCACTGGCATTTACTTCTGTCAAAGAATCTCATGTCTGAGGATTGAGCGGACAAGCTTTATTGACCTTTGTGTTTCGTACTACCATTTCCGCTTCTTCGGTTACGCCCAGTCCTCTCGGAGGCTGGCGCACTGGCTGGCGCTCTTCATATAAGCTATGCCCATACAGATAATGCTCATATCTTTTCACAATGGACGGCGATTGGGCTGAGGTATGTTTCATGATGTCTTTGCCCTTATTTAGACTTTTCATGTGTTTCACGTATAGGAAAAAGAAAGGGTGCCTGCATTGTACGAACCTGAGAGGCATCATATACAGTCGTGAATTAGGTGTCAAACTTATGCTAATTCAGTTCTTCTACAGGTCACCCGGATTCCGTTCCCGCCTCCAGGCGTGCACGCGATGCCCACTCCGGTTGCGACTATGACCTTCGACAACTCTCAGGAACTTCTTTGGACAGGTAACGAATATGTACGTCGGAAATGGTGAGATATAGAAGCTGAGCTGGCGCTGATTGGTGTTTCAGGGTCGAGTCACTTCCTTCTATGGGACCGAACTGCAGCGATATACCTCCTTCAAGGCCCATGCATCCTCTGATGGCCCGATTCGTCAGATACTCGTCAATGAGAAAGGCATTGTTTCTCTGGGTGCTAAAGATGTGCATATGGCTATTCGGAGAGGACTGCCTATATGGCATATTAGGTAGGATGATTCAACTCCATATGAGGTCGACTGATGCTGATCTTTGCCAGGCATGACGATATGAAAGATTTGCGATGTATGAGCTTTACGTCTAAGGGAACGGCAGAGATTATCGCTGCAGGAATGCAAGAGACGATGCTTGTCATTGACCTCATTAAGGGTGATGTTGTCAAACAAGTCAGGATCACTTTCTCAGTAATACAGCTATACTAACTTCCGCCAGGTACCTACCGAACATCAGTACACGATAATGAGACGCGGGCGATATATATGCGCCGCAACTCAGACTGGCTCCGTCAACTTACTAGATCCTGTCACTTTTGCTGTCGTCAAGTCTTGGAATGCACACTCTGCTTTGATCAATGACATGGACGCTCAGCATGACTTCATCGTAACTTGCGGATACTCCTTAAGACAGGGTCAGAATTATATGCTTGACCCCTTCCTCAACGTCTTCGATATAAAGAAGATGTCATCGATGCCCCCTATCCCTTTCCCAGCTGGCGCTGCCTACGTGCGCATGCACCCGAGGATGTTGACGACCAGCATCGTTGTCTCACAAAGTGGGCAAATGCATGTTGTTGACTTAATGAATCCCAACACAAGCGACGTACGGTTGGCTAATGTTACTTCCTACTTGAGTATGTTTGAGATTGCACCCTCCGGTGAGGCAATTGCCCTCACAGATGCTGATTGCTCTATCCACCTCTGGGGATCCCCAACAAAACTCCATTTCGTGGACTTACCAACTCCGATCGAATTCGCAACTCCTGAAGAGCCCCTACCCAACATTGATTGGGGCCCAGATACGTAAGTTGAGACAATAATTTGAATATTTGTTCCTTTACTGATCACTATAGGCCCCTGAACATGATCGGATTGCCTCATTATCGGGAAGCTCTGGCATCCGCCTGGCCAGACATCCCCTGCGATGTTGGAGCACCTCCTGTTAAGTTTGATCCACAGTTCCTGGCAGGGCTCAAGCCGACTGAGTTTGGGATGTACGGTCGAAATACTCGGGGTTTGCGAAGAAATCAGGCTGAAAACACTCGAAACGTGAGCAAATCAGGAAGCTCTGGGCTCAAGGCCCCCAAATTCCTTAGTGAAAAAGCTCGCGAGCTTGCTTCCAGTAACGCTGCTGCCTCTGATAAGAAGGCTGACGAGCTGATCAGCTCTTTTACTGATATGGGACTCGAAAGCAAGAAGTCTGACGTCCCAGTCATGTATAGAACCGTTGAGATCAAATACAGCAAATTCGGTGTGGACGACTTTGACTTTGGGTTGGTATTATTCCATTCCCGCAATGCAAGGTCACTACTGATCAGGCATAGTTTCTACAACAACACGCGATACTCTGGACTCGAGACTCATATCTCGAATTCATATGCTAACTCACTTTTACAAATCATGCACTTCACCCCTGTCATTCGAAATCTTGCTCTTCAGCATGCTGCTACCTCTTGCGTGAGCGAGATATGCCTGCTGTGCGAGCTTGGATTCTTGTTTGATATGCTTCAAAAGGCCGAAGGCTCGATATGCCAAGCAACGAACTTACTGAAAACCCTAAGCAATCACCCTCAAGGTATGTCGAGTGACGCTGATCCCAATCATTACTAACTGGCCTAGCCGGTCCACTTGGTCTACTCGAGGAGGATCCTCATGGATCATCTCTTAACGTTATGCTCCAAGGACTCACTCGCTTTCTCCTGGATAAAATCGTGCATGATTATAGGACTATCAACCCATCGTCGACTGCCATGGACCAGGTCAGTTGATTGACTGAAACTCGAGGATACATACTGAATCGTCTAGGTACTGGCCACTTCCGCAACGACCTCAATCAGATGCATAAACTGTAGGAGCGAATATACTCGACCGGGGTCAACATATGTCAATGATCTGCTTTATCCATCCCCTGTAAGTTCGATGCTGAATCTGTATGAGGAAAACTTATTCACTATGAAAAGGCTGGCAGTCGAAATGCCAAGTTACCACGCATCAGCTTTTCTCAAGTTCTCAAAAATAGCGTTGAAAGAGAAACGACGTCCAAAGGATGGTGTAGTCGATGTCAGCGGTACCAGACCATAGCGACGAGAAAGAGCATTCATAGTATACCGGCTGTACTCATGCTAAACACTGCCATCACAAACCAAGATCAACGAATGCTTTGGTCAACACCAGGCTGGCTTCCCGAGGAGATTGGAATCATCGTAGAGCAAGGGCAGTTTTTCTGTTACGAAGGCGAAGACCTGAAACTTCATCTCCAGAGGGGCATCCACAACATCACAGTGTATTCGCTGACAGGTATGGCCATCAACATCGAGAGCGGACAAACGCAAAAGTCACACCTTGTCTCGATGGTCAATGGTAAGTCTCTTGCGCCCCATCACCCCTCCGTCACTGACCAAAAGGATAGTGGCACATTCGGAACCAGAGGCGCCTGGAGAGAGTCGATGGCATCTTTTCAACGACTTCTTGGTGAGGTCGGTCAGCACGGAAGAGGCACTAGCTTTCAACACATCTTGGAAGGTCCCGTCTGTAATTGCATACCAGATAAAGGATGAGAACAACAAGATCGATACTGAATGGAGGAGCAACATTGATACTTCCATACTTTACCAAGACTTCAAGTATGGCCCAACCCGCTACGAACCTTACGTTGCTAACGTTTTCCAGTGCAAACGCCGATTCATCGACAAAGACCTATCAAGTGCTCAACCCTGAAACGGAGGCCCCTGGCCCCGACACCATTATTGCACTGGACACTGAGTTTGTTGCTGTGCGACAACCTGAAATTGAAATGAACTCTGACGGTGAGCGGGAAACCATACGGCCGATAGTGTACGCACTTGCTCGTGCATCAGTTGTCCGCGGTCAGGGGGAAAACGAAGGGACACCCTTCATCGATGATTACATAAACATCAAGGAACCGATTGTCGACTATTTGACATCGTATTCGGGCATCACTGAACAAGATTTGGACCCTAGAGTTTCGAAACATAGTCTCCTGTCATTGAAGATGGCATACAAGAAGATGTGGATTCTTCTTAACCTCGGATGCAAGTTCCTTGGCCACGGACTAAAACAAGACTTCCGAGTTATCAACATACACATTCCTAAATTGCAGGTCGTCGACACGATTGACCTGTTCTTCCTCCAAAGTCGGTTAAGGAGGCTATCGCTGGCATTTCTGGCGTGGTATCTCTTGAAGGAAGATATCCAAATGGAGACCCACGATTCGATCGAAGATTCACGGACAGCACTCAAGTTGTATAAGAAGTATCTCGAGTTCCAGGATGCCGGAATCTTGGAGACCATGTTGCAAGATATTTATCGAGCTGGTCGAGAGGTTAACTTCAAGCCGCCTCGCAAGGATGGCCAGCACATCCCGAGGACGGACACGCCCCCTCCTTTGCCAGTCGATGGCTCAACAGGGCCGGTGACGCCTGTCAGAAGCAACAACATTTTGGCACAGACACCTGGATCTGCGTTTGGAGGTGGCTCTAACTGGACACCAGGAAAGGGATCACCATTACCATAGGAATCGGAAGGTGGGAATTCCAATCAGCAGGATCCAGAAGAGGAAGAAGAGCTATTGATAGATTTGTGAGAGCGAAGAGGTGGACGAGCTTTGGAGGGAAAGACAGCAGCAGCAGCAGCAGCAGCAGCAAAGCCACCATTGATGAGATGAAGATTCGATCAGCGTTGGAGCAAGAGCCAAATTTGATGCGGGAGAGTTGACATTAAGCATATAGTGGCTCGTAAGACGCCCAGAAACCAAGTAGTAGCGTACTTGGAACAATTTACTATCATTGAAGAATCCCATTGTGTTCTTGGTTAAGAGGTGATCGACACTGGCATCAGGAATAGGTAGGTACCTAGATCCTAATACGCCGAGCCCTTGTTTACCTGCCCGGGTGATGGGGGCAGACAAGAAAGCTTGGGACCTATATCCTACCTCAAGCAACAAAATCACTTAGTTAAGTTTAGTATATTCTAAGTTAGTAGGCAATAGGAGCAGGTAATTCTGGCACTCTTTGCATCTTGGGTAAGGATCTAGCTTCAGACGTTCAAGGTAATCAACTTCCTTCCTTCATGCCAAACCTAGGTACGAAAGGAGACCATCAGGAAAGGGAAAGAGTGTTCCCCACTTCATATGAATACTGTATGGTCGAACTCCCTTCTTCTACTCTCAGCCTCTTCAACCACCTCCAAGTCATCATCTCGATGATTCTTCTTCACTCGCCCTATCTCATGCTCTAACTTAGCAGCTTCAATTTATTCCATCACCTACATGCATACCCACTCTCCACATGATTTGTCTGAAATATTCTAAACGGCAATCGTACAGCAAAATGGAGGGATACGACGACAAGGACGCTCGATGCCTCCCTCGTATGCCAAGAATCTTCACCCCCCCTGACACTCAACCTGAAGTCGTTATTTTCTCTGCGACCGCTGACGACAAAAGTTCCACTAAAAGCAAGACTACTCATGAGCTCGAAACCTGTGACACTGAGACCGATGACACAACTTATCACGACAAAGAAGAAGCAGAAGCAGGCCCAAGTAATGTACCTCACACGACCCTTATGAGCTCTGGTGGTGGAAAAGCGATATTCTAGAAAAATGACGACGCTGAACACTATCCGAAGCCCTCAAAAGTGTTCACAATCAAGGACATACGATCACCACAATCATCACAACCCTCAAACGATTTTGTTTCCGCGAATGACCATGTTCCAGACGAGACTATTCAAAGACTCAAGGATTTCGCCAACAGGGTCCACGCACTGAATAGGGACCCGAACGGGGACCAACTCAGCAGCTCAGGAGAGACTACCCCCACTGGACGCTCCTTGGAGGTGAATCCGTTCAAGTCGTCAACCCTAGATCAAGCACCACAACCCTTGACCCGAAGTCGCCTACGATCCATACCTGATGCAAGACTCAACAACCTTGGAGCGGTCTACAATCGGCTACAAGACACCAATGACGGGTCTCAGGTCGCTACACATGGCAGTGATACGTCACGACCAGCTGACTTAGATACTAATTCCATCAATACCAATGCTCACGAAACAGCTTCTGAGGATGACCGCCAGGCTTATTACATCTTCGACCCACGATCGAATGGCTTGGCATACTACATGTATAGAGGTACCGAGGAAAATGATGGATTCAAAATTGAGAGGGTATCTTTCAAATCCTCGGCACGGAAGCAAGGGGTGCGCGCCTATTACCTCGAAGCTTCAGACAAGGACCAAGATTTACTAAGGCATGGAAGCCACGAAACGCTCTGGAGGCTAGATCCATCCCAAGTCCCCGCAGTGATTATTGATACCGAGAGTTCAGCTTCCCGTGAAGCAGAGGCAGAAGTAGGCGATCCATTGTACGCCGGCGAAGAAGCTACCCAGAGCATCGCTAGAAAAGTGAGTGATCGCCTTCAAAAGATCCGGCACTTGAGAGAACATCTGCATATCATAAATGGAAAAGGCCAGCAAGTCCCAGAGGCCAAGGGGCTTTACCTTATTGGTGACAAGGACATCCGAGATGTCGTCAGTATCGTGTTGGACGAAACACTGAAGAATAGCCACATTGAATTGCCCAAGAGAACACCTACGACCACAGGGTCATCTGAAAGCCGGCCGGTACCGCGACTCGATGAGAACTCGAATGCTATCCTGGTCCCCTCCCCGATGGCGATCGACCCTGCGACTACTATTAATCTACCCAGCACATCTTACACGAATATCAACGCAACTGACATGCAAGTCCATACCAAAACGCGTGGCGGGGCTTCGGAAGCAACGACAACTGTTGTGACACGCCGAAGTATTGCTGAGATTACGTGGTCTCGGGCATATCCAGCAAATTATGATTCGAGTACACGAACACATTGCCGAACCGTTTCAGACTGTTGCTCACCCACACATGGGGGCTCACGCTCGTGCCCAGATGATCGTCGACAGAGCTACCAGAGGCTGACGAAAGACGAGTCTGTCCTACGACATTATGCCACTCCAAAAAGCACAGCTGAGATACTGGCCGACATTATGTGCAACAAGAGTTTTGAGCAACAGCTGAGAGTCAGCGACGGGACCGTCATCACGTCTTTCCCCAGACTCTTTTCCCGAGACTGCACTACTGACCTCACCTTACAAACTGAGAGTGACTACTCGAAAAAGCATACTCCGTCCACGCTTTACAAAGACGGCGTTGATGCTCACTGCGGTGTCGAGGAGTTGGCCGCATCGAGTTCTTCTGCAGAGCCCTCAAATACGTACTCATACAACAACCCTTTATTCGCTGCTAACCCATTCAGAGCGCACCCAACCAAACTGACGGCGGCTGGGAGACATCTCCCAACTCCTCTTGCGGCGGAAAGAAAACTAAGTGCCTCACTCGACGCAGATACACGACGACGCCTGAGTGCCCAGGTCGCCAACATTGAGGAGGAGATGGTCGATTCTCAGAATGGTTCACGGCAAAGTCTGATAGACAAAATCAAACAAGGAGGCCACAAGCTTTTCCACAAGAATCACTTCCGAAAGCCGACGGGGGGAGCTCCGATCAGAATAGCCGAGAATGATATATCGCCGGGCGGCTTCTTGCGCTCCTGGGACAGCATTGCCGGGGAACTCGCCCCTGAACCACCCAGGCCGGATGATGGAGAGATATACGAAGCCATGGAGGGGAGCAAGCTCAACGTTCCACATCCCAGAGAGGGGCTATGCTCCGAAGATAATCGACCTCACGAATGTGTGAATGATTTGTCGTCTCGCGACATTTCACCCAAATAAACGGCAACTGTTGAGAAGCCAAGGGGGACAACAAGACATACGTACCTAGATAGATCATTTCGTAGGAAGAATCGAACCTAATGATACTCTGAAAAGACTTTAAAGTTTTGTCTGGTATAAGGACGTTTGAGGTAGTATACTTGAGTGCATCATAAGAGGTCGACGAGTGTGTCACATCACATGCAATTAATGTCTATTATCCATATACTATGAGTCTATGCCGCCTTACTCGCCCTCGCTTTGTTCTCTCTATGCCGCTTCTCCTTGGCCGCTGTTTTGCGACGCTTCATCCATGATCTGTTGAGATCGCGTCTGTTATCCCAGAACCAAGCCTGAAAGTCGCTTGAGCTTTGTGGAGCAGAAACATCTTTCTCGTCTCCATCCTCGTCGAAGCCATGCTCTGCTATGTCGAGGTCTTCGTCGCCGTCTTCCTCATCCTCAGGCCAGAAGTTGCGCATCCGTGAGGGATGCGCGGTGTCGGGCGTGGGCGCAGCACTTCTAATGTTGCGCCATTCGAAATCCTGGCGAGAGAAGGGAGTCATGGGCGCGGGGGTTGCGATGGTCAGATTTGCGGGGTCTTGATCCTCCTCGTCCTCGATATCGTCGTTGTCAACACCTCCAAAGAAGCTGAAGGGCTCGGCTTCCTTCTTGGCGGGAGTCTCAGTGGCGACCTCGTCGGTCTTGTTACGCTTATAAAGAGCCTCAAGGGGGTGAATTTTTGTAGAGGGTGTTCCAGGAGGGGGTATCTTGATGGTGAGACTGCGGGAAGAACTTGAGGACATGGGTCTTGTTTCGTCGGCTTTGATGGCTGAGAGCGGTGTGGCTTGTTGGGGTGGTTCGGGGGAGTCGGCTTCAGAGGCGGAGGACTCATCGTCTGGCTGAGGAGCTTCCTTGGTTGTGTCTGTCTGTTCTTTCTTCTCTTCGACTTGAGCATCAACTTCCATCTCATCCTCACTCTCCTCATCAGATGAGCCGCTGCTACTAGTACCACTGCTACTGGTATCGTCATCTGACTCCTCGACAGGAGGAGGTGTCGTCTTCTTGACTTTGTTCTTCTTGGGTACAGGCTCGGGAATCTTCTTCTCCTTGACCGTTTCGACTACATTGCCATTCTCATCGACCCAGCCTTTACCCTCGATAAATTCGGTCGCTGCCTTGGCTTCTTCCCCGTCGGCTGAGGTCTTCAAGAAGCTCGGGAATTTTGTGGTTTTCTCGAATTCATGAACAATAACTTCGCGCGACTTGCCCTTCTTCTTGCGCTTTCGAGGTTGATCATCCTCAGGGAGACTGGAGATGAGATTAGGGGGAACCTTGGTCTTGAGCAGACACTCATCTCCCTCTGTATACTTTGATTTTAGGCGCTTCTTCTTTTCAGTGTGTTTGCCATCCTTTTCCTTTTCTTTGTCCTGCTTGCTCTTCTTTCTTCTCTGATCGGCAGGTTCTGTCCATCCTCTTTTGACTTTGCGGTCTGTCAGAGCGACGCCCTCGACAACCTCGTGATCACGCTTTCGTTTTCTCGATTCCTCTTTGGATTCCTTTGACTTCTTCTTTTTCTTTCTAGACTTCTCCTCTTCCTCCTGATCAACTTCGCCGGCAGGTTCAGCTCTCAGTTCTGGCCTGGCCTTTTCGATCCGTATTTTGTTGCCCTTCAACACAGCGCCATTGAGCTTCTTTTTTATCTTGTCAGCCTCCATTGTTGGCAGTTCGACAAAGCCGTAGCGTCGTTCGGGAAACGTCTCGAGCGTGTGATATGAAATGTTGCGCGCCTTGGGGGCCGCAGAAGCTGGAATAACGATCTTGAGAAGCTCGGGATCGAGAGGGCTAATGTGAAGCCTTATGTAGTCGCTTGAAGCAGACGAGGCTTCAGCAGACATTGCGAAGCGAATGGCGCTGTCGTGAGGAGTTTGTGCGACGCCAAAAGGGTCGTTTGAAATGAGTATGTCGCTTTCAATGAAAAGGGACGAGCTTTTGCTTTTGTGATTCCAATTTGGCGGAAAAAAGTTCCCAGGATCTTTGGAGGAGGGAGATTCGCGACTTCTGATTGGTCGAATGGAGCGACTTTGATCCGGGAGCCCTTAAAGTGAGAGTACCTTAGGTACTACAGATAAAACAAACAAACACCAGACTTGACTTGAGAAACAATTCTTGGAAATTGGTAAAGAAAAAACGGTTCAGGTTTGAGATTTAACCAAGAAGAGTCTCGTCTCACAAGGACAAACCTGAAACTTGGTAGACAAGCTGACTAAATGACGTCTCACTTGCCGCTCACATCTCAACTCCTTTGTCGCAGATGTTTGACCCAAAGAAGCATCTGCCAGATGAAATTACTAGGTACACTATGCACACTTATCGGAGACGGTCTGAAATAGGAAAATCGGATCTGAATTGATGTAACTCTATACATTATCGTTGCAGTTCTAGACTTGGAGGGTCGATAGTTCCCGGGTTTTATTGTGACAGACCAGGGATCCTTGAAACCCTTGGTCTATGCTGCTGGGACGAACAGTGTCACAGCGACGGGAGCTTCGTCTTTTGGGGGCATACAGTACCGAGTCTAGATATTCGACATGGAGGCATCCTCAGGTCTAGGTTTCGGTGTCATGCTCGATTCAACTCTATGCTTATGCTTAACGATGGTCACATATACTCTCAACGTATAAAAGGCATGTAGACCCTAGGTATTTACCTATCTATCTAAACAAACTCATCCCTTCTCAACTTGTTTCTCTTCAGTTCGCGAATCCCTGGCGGATCTTTGTTTATAGTAATCTCGTTTTATCTCTCTCTCTCTCACTCACTCACTCACTCACTCCCTCATACAAAATGCACTTCCCTATTCTTCCCATCATCATCACACTGGCTGGAAGCGCCCTCGCAGGTATGTAACCTTTTCATGGCCACAGCCCTTGATGAACATACCTACTAACATATATAAGCGCCTCATCTTCCCAAGAGACAAAATCCTTGCTTCGTCACTGGCTCCGAAGCTCTCCCCGATGAAGTTTCGACACAGGCCACGAATCTGGCCTCGGTCATCACCTGCGACAATTCGAAAACAACCATCGATGGAGTCCCAGATGTGAGCTCTGGCGGTGTAACCTTTTCTTCCATCAACTTTGCCGAATCAGGCAAAAGTCCTCTGGCATTCGCCCTCGATAAATTCGCAACCACATCGCCCCTGGCCAACAACAACCTCGACACGTTTCAGAATGAGCTCAATGTTTACCTCGCAACTGAAGCTGGTATCAGATCAACTGGTGGAAATCTTGCCATCAAGGTTCCCAAGTTCTTCTTGCAGTTCCAGATGGCTCGTATTCAACAGGCACAGGGTGCTGTGTCTGACATCCCTGGCCAGACCGTTGACCACCAACTGGAAAAGGTGCTCAAGAATGCAGCTGGAGAGGACCAGGCTCTTCTAGACCAAGTGAACGAATTGGCTGTCAACTTGAACTAAGTTCCAATGAATGGTATATGATACATAATTGCTCCGATACCCTGCCCAAATAAGTGACTCCGACTGAGGGGAGCAAGAAAACATAGGATTTTGGCAAATGGTGCCAAAATAAACTCAGTAAAGAGTCCCCTAAACTTAGGCTAAATTGCCTAAGTCTTTTCGTCACTTAGGATAAAAGTCCTAAGTTTTCTTGCCTCCCCCTGTCCAAGTCAACCATCATTATAGAAATACATCCAATCATAACAATTAGAGAGGAGAATGCATTACGCCAGAACCTTTTCAGAAAACACCTGCTTCCAACGTGACCCAAGCGCCAAAGAAATCATTAAGAAGTGCCACGGAACCAAGGCTGGGGATCCTGCTCGTGCCTGTCGCCGCCGATGGCCTTCCACCAGGTATCGGTGCTCCAGCGAATAATACGCTCGGCGGCACCCAAGGGCGTAGCGGCAGGACGCACATCGAGGAAGAAGACAGGATCACCGTGGGCATCGGGCTCGCCAGAGTAATAGTCGATGATGTATCGAATCTCCTTCCTTTGGCCGTTGATCTCTCGCGCAACGTACCAGTCATGTCGGTCAAAGGGAGGCTCAGTGCTAGAGTGTGTTAGCCGCAGATCGTTTGCATATTAGAATCACGAATACCTACCCAAACTTTGACGGGTAAATCCAGCCCAGAACCTGCATCATGGTGGCCTTGGGAGTCAACTCCTTGGGTCGACCTTGGAAGCGAACGAGACTAGGCTCGGTGTCAATGCCGTCCCTTTGGCGATCAAGCGCTTCCTGAGCATGACCTTCGCCCCTCTTGCAGATCTGCCATCCCTTGTAAAGCCCCCGCGCAAATCGTTGTTCCCAACCAAGAATCTCCTGCCATGCGCCCTCATTCAAGAAGTTGTGCACCGAAACCATGCCCTCGACGGCGGTGATATCGGTATCGGTATATCCCTTGCGCAGCAGCGCATTGTACATCTGCTGAGGAGACGGGTACTCCCAGTTGCCATCTCCAGTGCCCTTGGGGATGGTGGACTCATCTCTGGTTGTTGGGAGAGCGAATGATTGATTTGGAGCAGGTTTTTGCGATAGATCGGGGAACATGTAGTTGAGAGGGTTGAGCTGGGAGATCAAAGATTTGGGCTGCTCTTGGGTTCGGGCGGCGTGAGGAACGGGACATCCTGAGGTGGAAGGAAGATCGACAGGCTTCTTGGGCTTAGCCACGGGGTTCATGGCATCGGCAGACTTTTGGTGCATAGGACAGCCAGGCTGGGGAGAGTTAGCGACATGGTGAAGATATATGGGATTGCGATCATACTGGAGGAGCCTTGTCGGTAGTAGCTGGGTGTCCGACAGGAACCGCAGGAACAGGCGTGTCTGCCCAAAACCAACCCATCATGAGTGACTATATATTAGAACTGTAACGTTTGATGAAGTGGCTCGGCGTTATTGGCCTGAGTGCTGAAAGAATCGAAAATTGTGTTTGGTGACGATGACCAAGAACCAAGAGAGAGTGGATGATGAACGGACAAAAGTAAGAATTTCCTCCAAATGCGCCT